TCGGACCTCCTTTGTTCCTGTACCTGGCGCACCTCGCTGTCCACGCTGGTAATCGGGGAAAGTACTTGGAGGCACCTCAATCGGAGATAGACAAGTTCAGACACATCATTGATCCCAACAGAAGGACTTACGCAGGTAACGCCATTACCTAATTCTATTGAACGAGTCATAGCGGATGCGGAGGAAATGTTCCTCCCTGTTTTTAAAAAAAATCGAATCACGGCGGTGTGAAGATTCTGGCTAGAGGAAATTCTATTTGGATGAAGTTAATTCGCTGTTGCAAAATATTACACACAGAAAACGAAGCATATGCCCATGTTTCGTCACCAGAATGCAGAATATCACAACATAAAGTTCAATGTGGCAAAGTTAAAATATATTTGGCAACTACTGTAACAAGTCAAAAGTAACTTTGCAATTCACCATATTTTACAACAGTGAAGCATTACACATTGTCGCAATATGACATCACCATAAACGTTATTCAATGTAAGTAAAGTTGAATTCCCAGCTGAAGAAAAAATCCAAGTGCTCATGCATGCAAGCAAGTTCGTGGTGTTTCCGTTGCATTTACGACGAGTACCATCTGGAATCATGCAAGCCTGTGCTACCTTAATCTGATGTGTGCGAAACCATTCTGAAAATTACGTCCTCCTGCAAATGTCGTGTGCACATTTTTGGACATTTTTGACAAAACCTATTTCCTCTGATGACACTTTCTGTAAAAAGAACGTATTTAGGTTGGGATATTTTTTAGTTTAATCTTGTTTTAATTTGTTCTTATTTAATAAATATATTTATCAGTGTCTTCCTGTCGTAAAATTCGTTCTGTTACCTAGTACAGTAATAACGAAACTGAACTGAAGTGAACTGTGTTTCAGCTATGGTGTCAAAGCTGGACGAATCAGTGGGGAGGATTGTACAGGCACTCCAGAGGCGTCATATGCTCGAAAACTCCATAATTGTGTTCCTGTCAGACAACGGAGCGCCAAGCAAAGGCAGGCAACCCAACTGGGGCTCCAACTGGCCTTTAAAGGGCGTAAGTACTTAGAAACACAAGTAGGACGCGCAATGCCTATCCTATTTCAGTTCCAAACTCATCTTTAGACCCTCCTCTCACAAACTATCCTTGATGACGGAGGCAGTATGACCTCTGAAACGTTGGTAAACATCGACCAGACTACACGGCGCGACAACCCAGAAGACAGACAGCTTCATACTCATCGCCCTGATGACGGAGGCAGTATGACCTCTGAAACGTTGGTAAACATCGACCAGACTACACAGCGCAACGACCCAGAAGACGGAAATCTTTAGAAAATAATTAATAAGGGAAAGCTTATATGCATAGCAGTTAGCAAGACTGTGACGTAGCATTAATTTATTATAGTTTCTGGTTTGTGTCATAAACTCATAAAAAAGCAATACATATACAGTAATTGTTCTACGTAGTAACAGGTACTGTATCGACATTAACCGAGTGTCTGAAATGGAAGATGATTAGAGCCCTCGAGATTCTGTCCGTCCTCGAACCTAAGTTTGGGTCTGTCCAATTCCTTGTTGATATTTCTCCATAACAGGTGAAAGAGACGCTGTGGGAGGGCGCGGTGCGAGGGGCAGGGGTCATCTGGAGCCCGCTGCTGCAACAGACGCCCAGAGTGTCCAACCAGCTGATGCATGTCACGGACTGGCTACCCACACTCTACACAGCCGCGGGTCAGTTGTGCATTTTGTTATCTGATAGGCCTATGTTTTAGCATCACGACGCCATGAAGACTTGTAGAGGCACAGAATGCACAGTCCTGCACATTTTTAACCTCAGTCCAAGTCAGAGGCGAGGAAAAGTGACCGGTTCACGCTGAACAGAGCCTGGGTAAGCCAGTGAGTCGGTCTGGTCTCAGAAATGAAGAACCTGTCCGTGAGAGGAATTTAAACGCGGTTGTCGAGTAGTAATATGAATAACAAATTCAATTAAATCTCTATTATATACTACATGTTCAATCAGCAGGAGCCCTTTGTCGGAATCAGAGCGACTTTCGGAAACGTGTTCTTGAGTCCAATTTCGGACCGAGTCTGACAGTTTTAAAATTCAGTGCAGTGGAGCGTCGCATGTGAAAAGACACGTGGCTGCTGCAGGCAATAGTAAATGTGCGATCTGTTTCAGGGGGTCACGTTGCTCACTTGCAACATGACCTGGACGGAGTAGATCACTGGGAGTCCCTGGTTTATAACTTGGCTTCACCAAGGAGAGAGATTCTGCATAACATTGACGAGAAGGGCCGCGCCGCTGCGATAAGATTTCACAACTGGAAACTTGTCATTGGTAAGAAGTAGGCAAGATATTCAACCGAAAAGTTAGTGTCCGGTTACAGAACTACATTATATTATAACTTAAAAGACCACAATCCTAACTTTCACCGCCGTGGAAACAATAAATCTCAAAATAACTTTTCATCTGCAGGGACAGTTGGCAGTGGCGCGTTCGACGGTTACTTTGGAGACGACGGTCAAGACTCATCTTACCCTTCTTACAACGAGACCGCAGTGGTCCAGAGCATGGCTGGACGCGCTATAATCGCTGCATCGTCTTCAGTATACATAAATCCCACTAGAGTGCATCAGATATCGTTTATCCGCTCCTCAGCCTACATCCCCTGCCCATCCAACAACAGTTTCGGCATCTCGCCGTGCTCAGGGGAGGAGCTGTGCTTGTACGACATCGAGGAAGACCCCTGCGAGTCCAACAACCTGGCGGGCACGCACCGCAACGTGGCACTGCACCTGCGGACTCTGCTCCTGGCACACAGCAACACTCTCGTCAGGCAGACCAACATATCGCCTGACGCCAAGGGAGCGGACCCGAGGCGATGGAACAACACGTGGAGTCCCTGGGTGCTGGACGGCTGCGGACTGTACGAGAGTCAGGACACGAAATTCAACGTGTGTAACAGAACGAAGCCGATATGAAGGCGATATCTGCTCAAGAAAGAAGCCGACAAGATGTCATGATGGCAAAATCCGTGGTCCAATGAAGTCGGTACGAAGTCATGACTGCCTTATTCATGATAGAACTAAGCCGTTGTACGTCACGGCGGCTACATCCATGAGATAACCAAACCTATATGACGTCACGACTGCGATACACAAAACAGAACTATGGGAATGACTTAAGTTATTCTATTGACAGTACATAAATAATGGCACACCTATAAATGTATCATGATGTGATGGATAAGCATTAAAATACATTTGTGTTGCACGAGAATGCGTTCGTATGGATGGCTTCAAACAACAACTTTTCCTTTTATTTTTTTCCCTAGAAATTGCTTGTCATATGGATGTTGGTTACTCGATACGTTTCACACAAGTTGCTATTTAAAGCACATTTTATCAAGTACATTAGTTATAACTTATGTTCTTCCGAATAAAAATCTTGCCAAAAATCCAGTACAATATAGCTAACTTGTAACAAGAGACACGTATGTTAGGGGTAATATCTGGACAAAAGAAAAAGTGACAGGACGATTAAGGAAATTACGCAATGAGAAGTTGCATAATGATTGTGATTCGCCACATAATTATTACAGCGATTAAATCGACGGGGATGAGGCGGGCGGGACACGAACAGTAGCATGCAAAGTTTAGGTGAGATATGCATGGAAAGGTTCTTGATTCTAAGTCCAGTAAAATTTTCAACAAACCAACAAAGTTCTATTTCAGATGAAAATTGTTTGAGTGTTCTAGTACTACGCCTTTAAAGCATAGGGACCTGGAGGTACGTTCCCGTACATTCTACAATTCGACGTTATACGATTTACGAAGACTCAAACACACACTGCTAAAGGACAAGTGACTATCTTCAGGGTTACAGACAGTCTGCTGGGTAAGGTTTTTGAAGTGACAAAGTGGCATTATTTCTGTCGCTCGATAACACTGACATTATTTCTTTCCAGATACGAGTAACCAACAGCTCGTTCGCACGTGTTCGTTACACACGACTGACTCAATGACCGTACAGTTACCATCTGCTGCGGTGAGGTCTAATAGTCTGTCAATCAGAAGAATAAATTTGATATTAAACACTATTGTTAATCAATATCACAATCAAACACATTTAATCCAATTCAATGACAGCTGAACCAACTCCTGACTTCGAACCCTGTTTCTATAAGATCAGTTTTAATATTATATTTCCACGTCTGTCAGATATGTCACGTGATACATTCCAATGACACCTTCGAACCAAAATGTTTTATTCAAGTTTTTTCCTTCATCCGTGAAACATTCCCCACCAGTTTCAACTTCAATTATTTAATCATACACTGTGAATAAAATTAGGTAAAGAGCAGAATGGTAAAGCTACCCTTCTTGTAATTTTTTCCATTCACCGTTACTTAAAATTCATGATTTCAAATATTCTTCTCAGATCCTTATTCTCAATCTTTAAAAAATCCCGAAGGTTCATTAGATATTCACAAGAGCCCACCACTGGTCCCTATCCTAAGCCAGATGAATCCAATTTACAAACCCCGCCCTATTTCCTTATAACTTATTCTAACATTATCCTCCCATTTTCGTCTAGGTCTTCGAAATAGTGTTTTCTTAAAGGTTACCAACCAACATTCATAATTTCTCATTTCCCAATGCATGCTGCATGTCCCGCCATCTCATCCTACTATAATTTGTCATCATATCTGGTGAAGAGATTATGGTGCTGCTCATTCTGCAGCCTCCTGTCGCCTTATCTGTCTTAGGTCCAAATATTCTCCTCAACACTCTCAATCTGCGCTCTGTCCGCGGGAATTATGTTTAAAATTACCTGGAAGTCGCATAACAACATTAGCCAAATTGAAATAACTTCGTACGCCCCTCTCCGACACATCCTAAGGTTGAGGATGGAGGTGACGGCCTTCATATATGGAGGACATTTGCGATATCCTGGGTAAGCGGCCGCGGAGAGAAAAGATATTCGGGTCTCGCGTCGAATACCATCTGCATTACAGCACAAAAGACTACAATCTACATTTTCATACTTCGATATTATTATTTATAAACACGAATATTGAACGTAACGGTGTTGCGGATGGCGGTAGGCACCAATAACGAGGTCTCGAGGACAAAAACTTTGGGTTTCATGAGCGGCGGAGCTACCATCAGCTTCTCAAGGAGGACTGCTACATTAACTTATGTTTTATATGCTTGTAAACAATTTCAAGGAAGGAAAAACAGCTCCGAAACACCTTAAGTGAGCGACCTACATTAGCTCGCTTATCCTTATCGTTAACTCCCTCCCCCGACTTTACGTAGTAAAAACTTTAACGGGGAACCTCAAGACTGGCTATAAACAGCACAGTTGGTGCTGGTAGCGACAGGAACGTGGAACTGGTCTTATCAAGTTGGTGAGCGCTCAATATTTCGTTAATACCAAGACTGAACTCTTTCAGACCCAAGTCATCAGAAATATTGGTTTTTGAACGGGATCTTCTGAACACAGTAATGGATATTCCATAAAAGACAAGGAATTTCTTGAAAGCTAAGTAATTATCAATTGAATAAAAATTTCCTTGGATATTATCCATCGTCTAGTAAATATAAAACGTAAAAACGACGTTTCGGAGATGGGACTCTATCTCCGTCTTCAGGTTCCTACACAGTTGGGCCCACTAGATAGAGCTAATCCCTATCTCCGGACAAAGTAAAAAAGTGAAAGTCCCGGAATAAAATTTACTAGACGATGGATAATATCCAAGGAAATTTTTATTCAATTGACTCTTCACCATCGTCAAGAAGTTTTAGAAGTAATTATCAGCTTCTCAAAAATGGCTCAGTTCCTCGGACTTAGTTAATCTTATTCTGATTATTCCATAAATAGTTGCTGTAATTAGCTTATCTTCTCAGTCCTTTGAAGTCGAAGCTCGTCTAAATAATATTTAATATTTCAGTCCGTACCGGAAAGCAAACACAACTCTTTTCCACAACTTGTTAATGCTGTTTCAGGAAATAATCGCTAGTTACAATGGGAATCATTAAAAACCCATGAATACAATTGAAAAGTTGCTGATTATCGAAGCAGATGGAATATTCACTTCTCCATATTCTTTCCCTTCTCTTCATCCTCCACCGTCTTATATTTTTACTTTGCCTTCTTATATTTCTTCAGTGCGCTCTCCGGATCCGAAAGAGTCAGTTATGATTTTATGTACTCCGTCTCTAAAATTGTCTTCCAAGCTGTTATATTCCCTTCAGGATTTCCGGCCATTTCTTAGCTTACGTGTGGTTGTTTTGAGAAAGACACAAACGAAATTCATTTTGCTCCTGAGACGGGTTTTTACTTGTGACACTGGAATTTCTCGAATTAAGACATCTAGAAATATATGACATCGAAAAGCAACGACAGTCTTGTGTTTTCCTTAAGCCTTTTTTAACTTTTCATTCATTTTCATAACGCTGGTGCGTTTTGAGGTTAACGCAATCGAGCACTAAATACAAATAAACTGCTGACTTGCTGTTTAGGAGAAGTGTTTCAATTGTCTTTGAAACGTGACATTTTTTAAGAACGCTTTGCAGCAGAAATGTCTTTAATTCTTTTGTCATAGCAGCCGGTATTTCTAATGCTGCAATAACGTTGAGAATTTGACGAACAGCTCTATAACTGTAATTAACACGACTTTCATTTTTCAGCTACAATCGTTCAAGAGATGCTTCTTTTAATTTGGTACCTTGGATGCATTCTGGTGACTGCAGTACAAGCATTGTCACCGCATATAATTCTCATCGTAGCGGATGATCTGGTGAGTACCGACTACTGCAGAGTTAGGCAGGAAATATGAAACTGTATAGAAGCAAGAATATTATAGAATTTATATTATCCAAATAACAAGATTTCAAACACAAGCAGGCCTATGTTTACATAACAGCAGTTACATAACGTTACTCGATGTCTTGGTGGATATCTATATTATATGCTTCTTCTGTAATGAGATGGACTGGGCATGTAGCGCGCATGGATGGGACAAGAGGTGTGCACCGGGTACTGGTTGGGAAACCTGAAGGGAAGAGACCGCTGGGGAGACCTAGACATAGATAGGAGGATAATGTCAGGCGGGATCTATGGGAGATAGGAGTTGAAGGAGACTGGATTTTGTTGGCCCAAGACAGGGTCCGGTGGAGGGCTTTGGTTAATTCGGTGATGAACCTTCGGGTTCGGTAAGCCATCTAGTTAGTTATTTAGTTAGTTAACAACCCAGAGGACAGCCATCTTCATAATTTCTGATGTTGGAAAGATTAGAATATTTAGCTTTAGATGTTAAAGAGATGGCAGAGGACCTCCCCCCACTGATCTAATCACCAAATAACTCAACAAAAATGGTCAGTTTCTAGGTGAGATATCTCGCGAGTAGCATGGAAAGGTTTGACACGTGCGGGATATCTTCAGGTTGGTAATGACGATCAGAATTATGCCTCGTGCCAATCCCATAAAGAAAGCAAAGATCGATTATAATGTTCACAAAACGACATCAATCAACTCTCTCCTTAACCGGTTATAAAACAATAGAGTCCTGTTCATATACATCTATTCTTCAACAACAATATACTATGTCTTTAACAGGGTTGGAACGACGTGAGTTTCCACGGGTCGGATCAGATACCGACGCCAAATATCGACGCCCTGGCATACAACGGCGTCATTCTCAACAATTACTACTCGCAATCAACGTCTACATCCTCCAGAGCGGCGCTGCTAACCGGCCGATACCCCTTCCACCTGGGTCAGTTAGGTTGCTGTTTGCTGAAAATACTCAATTGGCTGTTGTGCACTCTTTTAAGAAGAAACAGTGTTCTGTGAAGTCATAAAGCCTCTTCTACTCTGCCTTCACTCTGTACACGGCACTATCACAAACGAGGTCCTGATGACCAAATCACAGCTGTATATCACTGCAAATATTACGTAAGGCTAAGATTAAGTATAATTTTACGAGTTATCTGCTAATGAGCTGATTGACAGATCGTAAGCAGCACGTCATCTTTGAAGCTACTGGACTGATTTCGAAAACAATCTGGCGCATTGTGGTTTATATAAAAATTGTACGACTAATTCAATTCTGGTTCACGTCGGCCAGTTACATTTCCTCCTTTACGTACAACAAAAATCTAACTACATGCATTTTGGAACAGACGGCTCTACATACATGAAACATGAAACTTCGTAAGAACAGAACAAAATAACGTATTTAAATACACAGTTTTTATTCCAAACGTTATTCAAAAGTGAACATTTAAGAAAATATTCTAATTCATGCAGTGTGGTGTCTGGTGTAATTATCTTTGCAACGATAGATTTATATCTGCAACAAATGAAGACGGAAATCAATACAGGCCTCTTTTGCAGAAACGAAAAGAACGCGTTTCTAAATCACGTGAACTCCAGCGAAATTAACTTTTATTTATTACGTGTTCTGTTGAGAGTTTTGTATGACAACCAATGCATGTGAGGAAGACTGTCTTCTGATTTGTAGCACCCTGTAGTCTGATAGAAGTTTGCGGACTTTTCTAAGATGCTGATGATCGCCGTAATAATTAAGGCAGCAAGGACCTCTTAAACGTCGGTAAACTTCTACCAGACTACACGGCATAACTTTCCAGAAGACAGCCATCTTCATACTCGCAGCTGTCAGAACCCTAAATTCCACATTGCATATGAGTTCGCTATAGACTCATTGACTATGGAATTCAGCCAACCGATTTTGTCTTCGTAATGTGCATAATTTCATTCCCAATGGAACGAAAATTATCACAACAAATACAGGCCTCCTATTAATACGACACATGTACTCCTGCATCCCCAGGAATGCAAGGAGAGTCCATAATGGCAGCGGAACCTCGAGGGTTGCCCCTGCAAGACAAAATCCTACCTGAATTCTTGAAGGACCTCCACTACGTCACAAAGGCCGTCGGAAAATGGCATCTAGGATTCTACAAAAAGGAATTCACACCAACATACCGCGGCTTCGACTCCCATCTTGGTTACTGGGGTGGATATATAAGTTACTATGATCATATTCTACAAAACGTGGTAAGTAATAAAAATAAATGTTGCCTCAATGCCTAAGCGCCATGCCGTGAAAGTGTGTATGGAAAGTGGAGGTAAAACTTCACACATTCTAAAACTCGGAGCCCTTGTAGCCGTCACCAAATTTCATGGTTCAAGATCACAGGAAAATCGTACACCGTTGCAACACAAACAGCGGACTCCGGGCGAGTAGAGACAGCTCAGAACTCGCACCGTAGGAAAGCTAGCAACGCTGGAGCCGCGCGGTGAGGTAAATGAAGTCCCTCCATGGCCGTGAAGCGTGCAATTTGATTACGACTGCCACGAGTGGTCAACTTCACTTTTGGGACCGCCTTACTCCTGGGGAGAGAGCCCCGATAAATATTGGATAAGCGTCTGGGTGGGACTCGGGGTGCGTGGAATTGGCCGTCTAGCCCATAGCGTCTTAATGGCTGAGCTATACAGTCTCATGCTACAGGGAGTTGGCGGAAAGTGATGGCAGATTGAAACTTGTCCTGTGCACATGCGCCGTTAATGAATGAAAATAATTGCCGAAATTTTAAGTTCCTTCAAGAAAATATCTGTACCTTTATCATATCCTAATTTCCAAATTTGTAGTTTAACGCTCATTTTCGATTTTCACAGTATCCCGAAGGACAAATCTTGAGTGGCTACGACTTCCGTCGAAATATGGACACGGCTTGGGAACTGGATGGACAGTACGCCACAGACGTGTTCACAGATGAGTGTGTTAACATAATCAGGAATCATAACAGTAGTAGCTCGCTGTTTCTATACGTCGGCCATCTGGCGGTGCACGCAGGCAATGTCGGCAAGCCACTCGAAGCTCCCCAAGAATCAATCGACAACTTCAGATATATTCCTGACCCGAATAGAAGAACTCTCGCTGGTAAGTTCATCCAGCTGAGTTTTCTATACAGAAGACCGCGTCCGCTTGACACAAGGGTTTGTGGTCCACAGCTTTAATGCACTTTTATACAGAGTGATCGGAAATTCACGCAACCCATATTAAACTACTTTTTGGTTGCTGCAATTCAATACAATTTGATTGGATCAATAAAGACGCAGTAACATGCCATTCATGTTATAACTTGCTCGCGCCAGTCCATCTTGAACAAGAAAAATAACATTGTTTTTTTATTTCAGTACAATTTATTTTTTGACAAACAGAACATGTATCAGGAATTGGTTGCGCGACTTTTTTAACACCCTGTACAAAGAGGCCTATATTCACAGCGTGCGAAAGTTGGCAAAGGGAACGGGTAGAAAACCTCAAAACCAAACGAAAATATAAAAGGTATAATCCTCCAAAAGGAATCGTTCCCAAGATATGATATCGTAAGCAGCAGTGGCACAGTGGGTTGTTGAGGGAGGCAGGGAGAGAGGGAGGCAGGGGGAGAGGGGGAGAGAGAGAGAGAGAGAGAGAGGGAGAGAGAGATAACAACAACAACAACTACAGGTGACACTCATGAAAAAGTGGGTTAATACAAAAGAATAGCGAACATACGAAAAACAACACTTGAAAACCTTACAATGTCTGTCGACACACAAGACACGTAACTAAGAAGGCGGCGGATTCACCTTAATGTTCTTATTTTTAGGACTGTGGTTACTATAACACAGAACAGTTATTTAAAACCTGTAAAACGTGCAATTCAAACACATGAAATATATGCCATTTTCTCGTTTCACTTCAATATCCTAGAAAGTCATGTGCAAAAGACCAACACACCATGCAATAGCACTTTGAATGGTTTGAATTAAAAAATACCTATCTACTAACAAAGCAACATACAAAGTCACTCACGAAATATTAAAGGCACGTGATGTATTAGAAACTTCCTGTAATCTTGCTGTGTTAATCATAAAATATTAACAAAGTAACAGTTGAAATTATAAAATTGTACAACTTTTACACGCCCATCTTACCTTCCATAGTGTGCCTGTGATTTCAACGACATACAATCTTGATGTTTGGAACATCTGAAGTTGATCTTCGAATGGAATGTTATAAAAGCTGTAATGTTCATGTCCCCGCTCACACATGTACATATGTTGTTACGTTATCCTTTACCTATTGCACTATTTCCACAAGACAGGTATTGTAGTTCTTCGAACGTTTAGACTGCTACGTATCACAGATAACAGACTGCTCTATGAAGTAGACGGAACTGGTATAGTGGTGGTGGTGTTGGGTCATTGAATTTCCCGGAAATACTCATTTTCAGACTTTAATTTGACTTATATGTCATACTACGTCACTGAATGCAATGATGTATTTTCGCATAAAAATCGTGCGTGCAAAAGTGGTTCTAGTACATAGCCATATACAAATGCACATCGAAACCTAACCTACCAAATTAACTACGATAAAACTTGAAATATACAGCAATATACCACCATACTTCCAGGACTATTTGGGAAAAGATCATTAGAATGATCAGCCCCACGACTGGAATAATAATAATAATATTATTAATAACAATTTTAGTAATGTTAATAACTTTTAATTATGTTAATAACAAGCATGCCCTTTCCATAAAGTGAAATAGAAATCATAATACCAGATGTTATTCCGTGTTGAAATGCTACTTTCCTTCCACTGACTGGAGTTCCATGCCACTAATCATGTTGACAATACAAATTCTACAGCTCCTGATTAGCCCCTTCCCCAATTATTTTTTCCTGAAAATGTGATAAAAAATACATTTTAATGCCACATTTGGTATACAAAAACGTCTTCACAATCACAGCACACAAATGATACTGCAGCTAGCATGGAAACATATGACATACGCTACAAAACCATACAAGACCTATTCACATGTAACCTGGTACAAAAATATATAAATGCACATGTCTGATAAAGTATAGCGGGTTCAACATTTGCTGACATTTAGAGTCGATATATGTATTATTTTCACAACCAAAATTAACTCAGTTTAGTAACAATGGGCTGGAAGAAAAACTTGTGCTGAATTAACTAAGATTAATATTCTTTTCAAATGTCAGCAACCCAAGATATATTTTGGGATAATCAGGAAAGCAGTTAAGTAATTCTTAATGTTCTCCTGTTACTTCATATATATTAAGTTTAAGAAATCTCTTCGGCAAACACATTTGGAATATGTCCACATAGCATCGTACACCACCAAATTGCTTATGAAATTAGTGTTTTATATTTCTAAGTAGACACAAATATAAATGTAAAAAGGTATGGAAAAATAACTTAACACAGCAATCTGTCATCAAATTTTAATTTATTGGATAAATACAGAAGCACGTTCACAAATATGTATTTGTGCAAATGCAAGTGTCTGTTAATAAATAATGTGAATAAAAGATGCATAATTGCATCAGTAACTGAACACCAAATTTTAAAAATATATTATTTTTACAAGTATTGTATTTGTGTGTGTTGCAGCCATGGTATCAAAGCTTGACGAGTCTGTTGGACAGATAATACATGCTCTGGCAGACACAGACATGCTGAACAATTCCATAATCATTTTTATCTCTGACAATGGTGCTCCAAGTGAGAACTGGGGTTCAAACTACCCCTTCAGAGGGGTGAGAGAACTGCAGCCAATTAATTAAGATACTATGATCTATGAGAACTATAAGTGACCAACCATCATCGTACAAGTCTTTCTTCAAAAGCGATGATACTGTGTTGTCTGATGAATGCCAGAATACCAACTTCACCTAAGCATTGTCCATCCTGCTTGTATGAATGTGGTTCTGGTGAGTCGTGGCGACAGGTGACTCTTGTGATATGCGCTTTTGCATAACTGTGGTTTTATTTTAGTATCATGAGAAGCATCAATATTCTGCCTTCATTTAATGCTGCTTAACATCAAATAATTCTGGCACCAGTTTGACAACAAAATGGTGATGGTTATATGCATTTTCAGTATATGTCAAAATTCACAAAAATAAAACCCATAGGGCCAATATGTGTTTGAATTAAACCACTACCAAAATTTAGTCTAGTTTTTAAATTTTAATTTTATTTGTTCAGTGTACTGAAATTCATAAATAGCCATTGCAGTTGAGTTAATTTCAAACCCATTCATCACTGAATTAAAGATTTATTTTGATATAATTTTCCAGTCTGCATTAGGTCTAGCATAGGAAATTTTTGATTGAGGTTTTGCACTCAAAATTGAATTATTTTTTTTTTTCCATGTGGGTTACATATCCCATCAATCACATCCTTCATGATGTAACAATATGAAAATAATTTGAATGAATTTATGTCATATTTACTAATTTCTATTTTCTTTTATAGTTTATAGTTTAGATGCGTCATGTTTGTGTTTTCAATTCATACATATATTTATTCTTCGAGTCTATACACAAACTATATTAATATTGATGTTAAAAATTAAAATTGATATAAATATTTCGCGCTATTCATCGTTTCCTCGATGTTACAATTTGCGCTATATATTACAACATGTTTCGATGTCTCAGCATCATCTTCAGGTTTTATTTTTAAAACAATTCTATATTTTTTAATGCACGCTTTTCAGTATTTGTAGGTTGTAGTTGTGGATGTTCCTTTTTTCTTCTGATTCTTTTGCATATTATGTGGCATATTATGTTATTTGTTCATTATTTCAGGAGTTTGATGTGTCGTGTGTCCTCGGCTGGTCAGGTCTGATCAGGTGAATGTCAGTTCATATTTTCTATTCTATTCTGCCTGCAGATCAAGCAGTCACTGTGGGAAGGAGGTGTAAGATGCATAGGTTTGGTTTGGAGCCCAATGATAAACAGTTCTCAGCGGGCATCCAATGAGGTAATTATATTAACATGACACATAGAAACATACATGAAGAAAGTGGATTCTTTCATCCTTGCCATCAAATGTCGTGGTCAAGTGGTTAGCTGTCCTGCTTCGAATTCGGGAGGTCCTGGGTTCAAATCTGATAATTACACTTTCTGCAGTTCAAGACATGTTGCTTTAGATATAAATGGTATTGAATAGTCTTATAACAGGATGACTTGAATAGTTCCTATTTTGTTCATTGTGTCCAAAACTATTTTCATCTCATTTACAATTCAATGACACTTGACATAGTACACTGGCAGTTATGGCAGTGAATCTGAAGAAAAGTTTATGATATTTAGAGTTTGATAATGACAATGAAATGGATGACTGTGTCCTTTTTGATGTTGTGGTGAATGGTGACAGTGATAATGATGATAACATTATTTAAGACTTCATATGTGAGGGCATGAACAGTTACAAGAAACAAAGGTAAAATTTCACAGGTGGTGTTGGACCTCAAGGTGCTGCAAAACATGTGACAGAAATTGTGGACATTTTCTGGTTGTTTCTATACAGAGAGCTCACACATAAAACTGCTAAAAATAAATAGATATATGAACCACATTCTATGCAGAGTAAATTATCAAGCATATCGTCAACTGCTATGGCATGGAAACCTATGACAGGAAAAATTTGTTGTATTTGGCCTCACTGCGCTTATGAGCATCGTTCAAAAACCTACTCTGAGACCATACTTCACATAAAAAGGGTAATTTGCAACCAGAATTTGGAGACACTGTAACAAGAGACAGACTGGAACTAATTTGTAAATATTTGCATTTTGCTAAAAATAATGATTGTATACAATTCATTCTGTCTAGCCAAAACACTTAGGACTAATACAATATCGACTGTGTCAGTGAACATAACTGAATCAAAAAAGTTAAAAGAAGTGAAATACTAAACTGAGAAAAGACGAAATAACAGCATGGCATTCAGAGCCTGTTGCATTTTCAAGCTTCAATGTTTAAATATCCTCTGGTTACAGGTCTGAGTACAAATTAAATGTCCTGTGCCATTGATGGGTTAAAGTTAATAGTTACAGATTTTGTCTGGATTTCTTTTGAGTCAAGAATACTACATAATCTTAACATCCTTGAAGCTCATCAGTTAATCAAGCAATCTGAAAATGATTTGATTATGTGGTAAGAACCAACTTCTATGTCTAATGCTAAACAGTTGACAACTGACACATCCAGTGTATTTATTCTACTTAGTCTTTGATAAGGATTTAGAATTCTATGTTTTACAGCTGATGCATGTGACAGACTGGCTTCCTACACTGTTCAGTGCTGCAGGAGGAAATCTGAGTGAACTTGCTGGCAATTTTGATGGTGTTGACCAGTGGAACAGCATAAGTTACAATGAGGCATCTCCACGCAAACAGGTGCTACTGAACATAGACGAAGTGATGAAAACTGCAGCCATTCGGGATGGAGACTGGAAACTAGTCATTGGTGAGCATCTTGCAGCATTCCAAAAATACATTTAAATATAAGCAATATGCATATTTGTCTCAAATATAGTTATCCTTATTTGGCTTTCAGCTTTGCAAACTGATTTTCATTTTGCTTCTTAGAATCTATAAAGAAAAAGAAATATTCTGCCTATGTCACTATGGAACACACATAGAAAATGTGTAGTGAGCATGGAGGTTATAAGAAGACTGTACACTGAAGCATTGGCCAAAGAAAATATTTTGTAGTTCTTCCAACATAAACTAATATGATCTCAGTATATAGTTAGCAAGTGTCCTTATTGACACTGAATGTTGCATCTGAGTAGATACCATTCCTGTCGTCTATTCAACAGACACTAGGTATGATTTTTGGCCCATGACTGGCTATTCTGATTTGTTTTTTCCCTAGACCCTCCAGAGAAATTCACAGATAATGCCATAAAATAAGCGACGACCATTTCATTATCTATCCTTGCCAATTCATCATTAAGTTATCTTGCCACTGGACACAATATAATCCACAAAACTGAGAAAGCATTATTAAATAAACTAAGAAATAGAAGATTCTATACTGACTGACATGTTTCAATGAAAATACCTTAATGTTTTGAAATTACTGCCTTCTTTCCAGGATCATTTGGCACAAATGGTTCACTGGATAGATATTATGGAGAAAGTGGTCGTGGACTGAGAAATCCAGTTTATAATATTTCATCAGTTACAAACAGTACGACATGGACATCAACTGCACCATACAGACGTACAGATTCTGACACTGAGCTAAACAAACTACGGGAGTCGGCAACTGTAAAATGCAGCTTTGACAGCCAGTATCCAGAAACAGACTGCAACCCTTCAATAACAAAGGAGCCATGTTTGTTTAACATTGTTTCAGATCCTTGTGAAATGCATAATTTAGCAAATATACATGAAGCAGTTCTCAGACAGCTGTACCATATGTTAATAATTCAGAAACAGAGCTTAGTTCCTCAGTTAATTAAACAACTGGACTTTAATGGAGCAAACCCTGCAAAATTCAACTATACATGGAGCCCATGGGAAGACTGAATATATGATAAACTCACAATAATTAGCTACAGTACGTTATAAACAATAATGTTACAATTTATATGGAATTGTATATTCCACTTGCATTTAATATGAGCAGAGTTAACTGCTTAGCCATTAAAGGTTATCTGTAAACTTAATAGTTAACCCTCAACATGTTACACAGCAATAGCACATTTTATACATATTCTATTACAAACAGAGATATCATTAAGAGGGGTCTGCAGTGGCCACGCAGTCTGAGGCATGGGCCTTGTGCCGCTTGGTTGCTGGGACCGTGGGTTTGAATCCCACTCAAGCCATGGATGTTTGTCCGTGTCTTTCTGTGTTGTGCTGTCCTGTGTACAGGTAGAGGCCTTGCGAAGGGCCAATCCCTCGTCCAAGGAGTCCTACCGAATGCCTATAGATCAAGCCAAAGAAAAGTTGGGACCCGCAGTGCTCAGGCACTTGAAGAACGGGTCGTTCCCAGTATCCCAGATATCATTAAGATATATAATTCTGATATGTAATAGCTAATGAGATGCAAGTGAAAAAGTATACAAATTTTTTGTTGCAGAATACCTTTATTGTCAACATCTCTGTCAATAATATAGTTTATTATCATGCAATGCACTACTGTTAATTAGCCCCATGAATAGCATATTTGTATCCAAAATAAATTAATATGTAAATCAGTGAAGAATGCAGAATAGTAATGAACACATTTGTAATTTTCTTTTTAAACTGTTGGATTTTACAGTAATATAGATATATGCAGTATTCTAATCAAGCATATTAAAGTAAAAAATAAATGCACAATTGTACTATTTTGCAAGTTATACACACAATTAAAGTGAAGTAGGATTTTTAACAATACACATTTGAAATACTGACAATTTCATTTAATTACAGTAATTTCACGTCACCTGATGTTAGAGTTCATTACTCTTATGTGAGCTGCATTATTGCTTGCCAATAAAGTCTATTAATATAAAGGAACCCATTAAAAAAAGACTAGTAGAAACACATAATGGAAAAGAGATAAATGAACGGTTCACAAGCATTTATGTGTACAACACAGTGATGGGTCCAGCCAGTTCACTGTTGCAAGTTAGTTCACTCATAAAAATGAGTAATTCAAACAAATAATTTCATCTGAGTCTCATTGTTCAGGCAACTGAGAATTCATCAGTCACTCAAGGACCTCTCCTGTCCTACTTTCATTTGTGACTCTCATGGGCAAGGAGGAAGATATGTGCAGGGGAGCTGTGCAGTAAATCATTCATGAAGCAAACGATACACTCAATGAAGGACAGTGAGTCATTCACAGCTCTCATGAGTGAGTTGTTCACTCTGAATGACTTGTTCACAAACAACCCATCCCTAACACATCAATGAGCAGTTTTAAAACTTTCAATACATTGAATAAGTAATGAAAATAATAAGAATGGTCACAGATAATCCACAGACTTAATAATCATATGGATAAACAAAAGTCCACTGTATTGGTAATAAAATTATTTTCAGTCAGAATGACTAATCATGTCAGCAATATTAAATGAGAATAATTTAAGAATTAAAATGTGATGAAAATATTCTTGTGCCTATAACTTTTGAAGTGAAATATACTGCTATATGGGGAGCACTTATGTCATTGGTGTACACACCACAATCTTTCATGGTTTTCAGATTTTATATCAGTTAGCTTTCCATTTTCAGTACTAGCATCTCCAAAGAAGTTAAAAGGATGATTACAACTCCTTGCAGCTGAGTCATCCTTGACAAGCTTACAGTTGTCCTGCTGGTCAATAACTTCTCTACCTTTTTTGGAACTTGCAGTTTATTACTGTGTTTACAATATCTCACCATTGGACCATCCTCAGCCAAATGAATCTATTCCACACCCTACTTCGTTTAGATACATTTTAATATTATCATCTCATCTATGCCTAAATCTTCCAAGTGGTCTCTTGACTTCAGTCTTTCTGACTAAAACTTTGTATTGTTTCTCGTCTCTTCCATGCTTGCTACATACCCAGCCCATGTCATCCTCCTTGATTTCACCATTCTTGATAAAAAATACAAATTATGATTCATAAATGTAATATAATTTTATAAATACAGAAGTATGCCCTTAAATTAAGCACTAATGGTTTCTGCAGATTATATTCACTTACTTACCACACTTTTTCAAACACTTCTTTGTTCTTAAAAGTTTTGGACAAGCTTTCCCTCCATTTCGTGAGTGAACCTACAATAGACATATCACAATCATAAATAAGCTATCCCAGCTTACATATAACGAAAAATAAGTTCATGCATCAATATATAAAACATCCAACATTCCGCTATTTCTTCCACAGAAGAAATGGTAAATATATAAAATGTTCCTATTTAACAGACAATCTTGTAAAAGTTATTGACTGATTCTATTTTAAAAATTAGGCATGGGGGTGTGCATTTCTCCCAAACAGCATGACATTAAAGAATTTATAAATAAAAAAATTCTCTTGGAGGGACAACCCTGGAAAAATGATTAACTTTTTCCTATTTAAAAAATTTAACACAGAGTATTCCAAAAACTTATTTAATGGGTTTTTTTCTCACAAATAGTGCATTGTAGAAGAAGCTGGTAAACATGCACAAAACGAAACCTCGTCTTCGACAGACAACGCCAAGAAATTCATTGAACTTTTCTGTTTTTAAAATTAGACACAAGGGTGTCAAATAAACGTTTACGAAGGTGTTTTCTCCAAATGGCAAGTCATATAAGAAATGGGTTAATACAAAATACATTATTCTTGCATAGGCAATGCTGTCAAAATTATGTTTTTTTAAAGTAGATGTCAAAAACTTACATAATAACACTGCACAGAAGAAAATGGTAAACACAAAAAATATTAATTTTGGAGAGACAACCCCAAGAAAGGAACAATTCTTCAAAAACTAGGCACAAGGATGTGCAGTAAGCAGATTCAACAACATGGTAGAGGTGGTATAATATATATATATCACAATCTTCTCCCTGTAAGCAGCATAAAGAATGGACAAGAAGACATCACAGACAACACTGTTTGAAAGCCTTTAAATAGTTTCCTGAAAATAAGACTACCTGGCTTTGTGTGGCCATTGTTACTTCAAGCTAAACAGCAGGTCTTACATTGTGAACTCTTGATGATGTCTGTAAAACAGATTAAATATGGTGGAAGTAAGATTTTAGAGTTCATTTATATAGTTGTACTTGACGATACATGCAGATACTAATCCACTCTGAAAACTTGAGGTCACATGTATAAACATCTAAGGCTACTTGCATTTTACAATTTAGAAAATAAACTTGCCAGAATTGATCGGTTCCTGGTTTTGTAGCCACATCCACAGGACACACTGCATTTAGACCACCGAGTCCAGCGACTGACAACACAATCTATAACTCTTCCCTCAACTACGTTTCTAGGCTCAACTTCAGATTCAAAATTGTAGGTGGGAAGAGTAGAGACCATGAGACCATATGTCATGTTGAAGTCTAGAAAGTAACTTGATGACAGTTCATTCAAAGGACTGACAACTGTAGAGTCTTCTTTAGTGGTGTCGTCTGTAACCTCTGGTTCTGAAACAGTGATGTTTATTATCTTATTTCCATCTTCTTTTTCAATAGAGCAATAAGTGATTATGGGGTGTTAGCTAAATCAGACATAGTGAATTAATTACAGGGATAATATAGGTAACAAAATTAACTAAACATAGATTTAATGGAGTACATTCACAAGTATGTGAAATGAAGCTGTAATGTAATTGAAGATGCTATCCCAGTATGTGCCTGGAGAGACTGAGGAAAATCACATAAGTATCAGTAAGGATAGCTGATCTCCAGGCTAAGATGTAACTTGTAAGTCTTAAGAATGTTCCATTACAACTAAAGAAACACCATCACTTATCTGACTCTAATGTTTGCCAAAAAATCATTCCATGTTGGAAAATAGCTTGTGACATTTTTTTCAACATATGTACTTAAAAATTCTATTTTCTGTAGGAAAGAGTAAGTTTTGTTACATGCTGAGATAAATATGATAATGATATCTGACAATGATAATTTTAGTTCATTTATCTTTGTCTTTGCTTTTCAACAATGAACAACATTTCTGGGTTGAGTGTGAATATGTGTACCAAATTCCATGATAAACATTAAACCTCACTGTGCATGAAGTATAGAGTAATTGCTACCCATTTCATCACAAAGCATAATGAAAAATCTTGAATTAAATGATCCTGATTTTACAAAATTTACTATCTTTAAAATCTTGTCAAACATTGTTTTCAGTGTATGCAGAACTTTTTTTTCCATAACAACAGCTTGATGATGAATGATACAGTGGCTACTAGCGTATTCTGGTGTCATGTATTTTCCCCGCCATCAATGCTGTCTATTCAAATATGAATGCATTGTTCTAAGGCTTTTTTCAGCAATGTGAAGGTCAATTGTATGCAAATAAAACACAAAGACTGGTGATGTTAGTGGACAGAATAGTCCTAACTGCTTTTAATCTGTTTAATTAACTAGCATTTGACATTATAACTCATGTCCTTGATTCTTCTTGAACCGTAGAATTTTTAAGTGGAACTTTTGTAATAACCTTCAAGTGATTATCACCAAGCACATAAAACTGTTTCTTTCAAACTAGCAGTGATGAGATTTTCAGCAATTATGTGCAGCTCACCATTATGAGTAATATGATGGCATACTTGTATGATGTTTCACACACATTAATATTTCCACCTTTTGTGACTCGTGAGAAATCAGTTTGAGAATGCTCCAATTAAACACATTTACATTTAAAAAGTTACAGGTTTATCTTTGCTATCAACATACTTTTTCAATAACATACATATACAGTAAAACCTCTCTAACTTGGACACTTGCGGTTCCACAATAATGCGTTCAACTTACAGAGGTGTCCAGGATAGAGGGAAAGGGGAAAATCATCCTTTCAAATTGTGGTGTAATGACAATGTGGTAATTGTAAAGTATTATGGAGCCCTTCCCAAAAAGGAAATTATTGATAGGGAAAATCAAAAGGGTAAATTAAATTTTTACAAATTTTGTTTTCACTAAATTAAACTTGCATGGATAAGCTCAAAGGGAAGGGCACCAATACTTTACGTTTACCGACAATGTAATTTATTTACTTACATAATCTAACTACTGTAGGCTTGCTTGAATTAAGAATTAATGACAATAATAATAATCTTTTGAAACCCACTCTCATGGTTGCACATTACACCCCAGCCTCAATGAAATTTTAAATGTTCAGAATACATTTTTTAATTGTACTTATGGCATTAGCTAAACATATGATGTCACTTATTTCTTGTAAAAAACTCCATCACAAGACACTGCTTTTTTGCTTTTATCTTGGAATTTGCCCATCCTCTTTTTAATTTTCGCCGCAAACCAAATAAAGTTTCAACAATTCCTGGTTGATTATGAGCGAAAAAGCATACCGTTCCAATTTCTGTTAACACTGTTTAACTCACACAAACACAGTACTGACAAAGTTAAAACTGTACCAGTAATAGTACTGTAGTCCAGTGAAGGGTTCAACAAAAGAATAACTATACACTTACACTGCATTCCAATGATGTGTTCAAAGTCTCACACCCTCAACCATAAGCTAATCCTCCAGAGAGGAGGCATTCATCGGTCAAAAATTAAAAAAAACAAAATACTAACTGTAAACGTTTCCCATAAAAGCATTGAAACTAAGTGCATGCATGCAGGCACCTGTCCAACTTACAACAAAAGGGGTGACCAAGTTCCAGGATAAAGGTGTGTCCAAGATATAGGGTATTGTGGATATGTAAAATTATAGGATATTCGCCAGTTCCAATTAAAAGTGTCCAATATAGAGGGGTGTCCAACTTGAGGGGTATTACTGTATCTGAATTGGAGATAGATGTCATCACATTTACTTTTCTTTTGTAATTTATCCATAATACCTGAAGTACTTGCAACTCCATCTATTTCCTCGTCATCAGGCAACCAGATTTGCTTTCTCTTTTCCTTTTTTTTCTTTAAATTTCCCATTTTTAGCTGCTGATCCACTGTAAGAGTTCAAGAAAATACAAATGTGACTCATTCAATGACACTTAGATTACTTTTCATTAAGACAGCATGATACAGCAACTTAAAGAACAAATTAAATAATTATTTTAAGAATATTTTACCATAATTATAACATACCGTTACAATTCTCTTCACTTTCATTACAACACTCTCTTTCAAATAACTGCCATCTTCTGAGATACAGACGAGCCAATGGCAGAACCTTAGATCCTGATGGGTCATAGAATGGTGAACGTGGATCATTAGGATAGCTTGAAGTGATGCGGATTACTACCTTGTGTGGTGAAGTGGGCTCATCAGGAGACTGGCATGTGGCAGAAAACAAAATAATACCAGCATATCAAAATTAAATTAATATGTCCCACCATAAAGCAGAACAAGAAATTATTTTTATTTTACATTTATTTCATTTTATAATTTTTAAAAGACAGAAACAGCTGGAAAAAAAACCCACATTTTTATAAGGAAAGGGTCAGCAATATACTACACACTTTATAAACCACTAAAAGGTTCAAGAATTTCATTACTACAATTTCTATTGATGCCACTCACCATATAGGTGATTCCATTGTCAGTGCCTGCATCCAAGGGGTACAGATCAAACTCCCTGTAGTCCACCCAGCTGCCATTTTTTAGACAGAGGTTGATCCCAGATACTCCAATTATCCAATCTGGAGATGGAGCTGCACAATAAAACAGATTAAATTATAAAGTCAACAAATTATATACTATAATGATTATGGGCATACAAATGAGAATAAGGATCATACTATTAACATGAGTTGGTCTTAACAAATTATCTAAGTTTATATTTCAAAATTAGATCAGGTTCGGTTTGCTCTGGTTTCTGATCTCTTTTCAAGTCCTGTTCTTAACACCAGGACCCTTCTGGATGAACCCCAAAATGATTTTTAATGTGTCTGTTCTCAAGAAATTAAAGTCAATGTGTATATCTCATACAACTTCAATGATCAAATTAACAAGCATGCCTTAACACTGGGATACTGGGAACGACCCGTTCTTCAAGTGCCTGAGCACTGCGGGTCCCAACTTTTCATTGGCTTGATCTATATACATTCAGTAGGACTCCTTGGATGAGGGATCGGCCCGTCGCAAAGCCTCTACCTGTACACAGGAGAGCACAACACAGAAAAACATCCATGGCTTGAGTGGGATTCGAACCCATGGTCCCAGCGACCAAGCAGCATAAGGCCCACGCCTCAGACCGTGCAGCCACTGCAGACCCCTATGTCTTAACACAGCAATAAATTATTGTAATACTTCGGTCGGTTTTACATCGTATTTTGTAGGAAAAAGATGTTAAACTTAAAATTAACTTCTTTACTCTGAGTCCAGCAAACTACTAACTGATATCTCAACTGAGGGTCAAGAGTGTGGTATTTTGCCACACATCAAGGGCCAGAATATATGAGAATGGGGCATTTATACAAGTATGAATAACAGATGAAAATTAAAGTACCCAGAGAAAAATCTGCCCCAATGATATGTTGTGCATGCAAATTACATAGAGCTGTCCTAAAACTGAATTCAGGCCACAGTAATGAGAAACCAATGTCTAATTACCACAGCCAATAATTAAAAATAAAGCCGTCAACAATGGTCTTCCAAGTCTTATCAGCACGTAAATTTATAGATATTCACACTGCTGACAGAACCTCAAATCTCACAATAAAACTATTAAATGTTTAAGGAACTAAATCTTACAAATATATATATTTATTCACCAATTCAGAAACATTTATCTGATGCCAGATTTTTCAGGCACTGGTAACTACTATTTTGTTGTAAATAAAACTGTAATTTGAAGTTCAAAGATATATCTTACCTATCCTGGAAACAACTGAAAACAGATAATGTTTTCTATCTACTCGGAAGAATGTGCTCGTCTTGCCAGTCACATTGGGGTACGCAAGTCCTCGTGCCTTGATTATTGTGCGGATATTTTTACTCTGCAAGGAGGAAAAAATATACGCCAATTTATTTATATACACAGATTACATACATGTATTAATTACCTCTTTTTATAAATTTCAAACCATAGACTTTCGTTCCTACTGCTACAGCTGAATATCCAAAAAAAACTTTATTCTATTTATTCATCATGAGAACTTCATATTTGATAAGGAATTTGTATGCTCTAAATGAAAATATTTCACAGGTAGTTTCATAATTAAAAGCTACAAACATGTAGACTATTCAGGATGGACACCTGTTACCTTAGCTATGATTTCTTTCTCCAGTTCATGGGTGGAACCTAATTCTGCCACCAATCTCAGGCCTTCTGAAGCAAATCTGCCATACTCCCAGAAATAGTAATGAGGTGAATGAGAAGCTCCTATCAAATCAGTGAATCCAGTCAGCCACCCATTTTCTGGAAATTCCTTTGGGTGTGTATATTTTGACCACAATCCCTCAAATGTCATCTGTGTAAAGACATCATTGGTATCACTTGAAATATTATATATCAATTCAAAATCATAGTCAGTGATAATGCACAGTCTGAGGAATAACCTGACTAATGAAAAGGGGTCAGCAAATAGTGATTGGATGAAGACTAATTCTATGGTTATATACGTATACCTATCAACACATTAAACAATACGGCAAATTCTAAACTAAAAGTACACTTAAGTATAACCTAAGTCTTGGTAGTTACATTTACTCCACACCAAATGTAATGTTTATACTACCATGACCCAGTTTGCAGAGCCCTGTAAAAGTGACATAAAGATTAAACATGTTTAGTAATGCTGCTAGGAAACAATGAGAATGGAACTTCGCCATAACTGCAGGCCACTGGATACTGATGTAGACAAAGTCTCGGTAGATAAGTATTATGTCTCTTGTGATAGAAATGCCACTTTGTAATTCAAGGAACTGAATTATGAGAATGCAAACATTAATTCCATCATAGCAGTAATGACTTAACACAGTTCAGGAAACACTCACAGCATTATAACCACTACATCTGGATACACCACTTACTTCAAAATTTATGCTGAGTCAGATTAAGTTTAGTGTTTATGTTTTGATTTTGATCTGTTTAATGTGTTGATGATTAAGAATAACCATTTAAGTTGAAGTTAAGTTTAGCTATGACAGTGAAAAGTCACTCATTTACAATATGACTGTTACCTCATACAGAGCATCATCACAAGCATAGCAAGTAAAATCAAACTCAGGCTGGTAAAATTCATTCTCCTGATCATCCTCACAAAACTCATGACTTAGTTCACCATCCTTGTACCATACTTCATGGTCTTCCACGATAGTTGCCCTGCAGGAAATAAACATGTAAAAATTGTTGTTTTCCACACTGAATATTGTGCTAATAACTTTGTAATTAAGTCAGATTAAGTAACATTTAAAAACACAAGAAATAAACAACAGATAAATATAGATTATGACAAAGTTCTTTAAATTACTTTAAAGAGTAAATAATTCAACAATTAATAATAATTTTTGGATAGAGGTCAAAATTATTTTATACTAGTATTAATAATTTGTCATCATGAACTATGCAAGATTAGGCTTAGTTGCCAATTCCTCAACTCTCTAACCTCTAATAACAATTTCCTTAAATGTTCTTAATCAAAAAAAATTACTCCAGAAGATATGTTCCCCTTTTGGCAGTTCAGCCCATTAATTACAATCTGTTTGAAAATTGTTCTGTAACTAAATTATAGGGCTCATTACTGTATGCTCAGCAATTCTTATAGTAACTAAGTAGAAAAATAATATGGGATAAGACTGGAGCTATATACACAAGTGTGTGATGAATTTTCACAGTTGCCCATACTTTTAAATTTTAAACAAGTGATAAAAAGCCTGCATTTGAACTCAAGAAAAGCAAGCTCCATACGGGATAGTTACAGAAAGTTATTCTTGTACCTGAAAACTACGCAGCCACTGCCAGGAGGGGGTGCTGTCCAAGTCACTTTGACCTCAGCCTTTTTTAAGGATGACATCTGTATGATGGCATTGGGACATTGATTGCTGTATTTTGCAATGGTGTTCCCCACCAGAGCAAAACTTCCCACATTTTTATCTCCAGTGTCATTGTTTTCTGATGAAGAGTGGTCTTTGGGTTCAACCACCAACATGAACCTTTCAAAAGTTGCTTGATATCTTCCACTTCGCTGGCCACGCAGACTCACTACAGGTCAAAAACTATTGCTGGTATATACAAGTAACATATTTACTGCATCATTTTCCAAACTTCAAAGGCTATGTAAAATTTGAAGGTATGTTTGTTGTCTATTCAATTACTTCTCAACTGCATGGGTCAACTATATATTAATAGCATTGAATGAAGACTAATTGTTAATAATGAGTTATGAATGATGGAAAGGAAGCAGACTTTGCCTATCCAAGTAATAAATCATGTAAAATCTTGGTCTCCAGATAGAAAACTGAATCCAAGCTCTTATGAACCAATCTCTTTTAAGCAAGTGTTTGTAGTTTTGTTGACTGGTTGGCTGGAGATCATTTGCTGTTAAGGAATACTGGGACTTGTGGGATATTATTTATAATTGTGTGTTTACTGCTTAGATTTTCACATCATTCTTGATGACTAGTTTACTAGTAGTAAAACAAAAACATAATTACAGCAGTAATAATAAATATAATGAAACTGATATAGTAACAATTAAGGCAAAGATAATGATAAAGAATAATCATTTGTTATAATATACAAAGTTTTTCCCTAAAACAAACACAAAGTTAATCTATGATTGAAAGGGGAAGTGTACTATTAATAGAAACACGGTACAGAAGCCAAAATGATCTTAAAGTACAAGGACTAAATTACAAGTTCTCATGGCAGTGGGTATGACGATGGCTGTCTTCTGGGTTATAATGCCATCTCATCAAGTAGAAGTTTACAAACGTTTCAGAGGTCCCTGCTGTCTCAATCATCAGGGTAATGAGTAAGCTGCGTGCAGAGAATCAGATTGAGATAGAAGTTTATATAATACACAGAAGAAAGTGATAGCAGATGTCAGAATCTTGCAAGCAGCGATACAATACATAATAAAACCAATGGCAATGTATGCTGCAGTTCTTTGTATAACATTCTGACAATAATCAGAAAGAAAGAGGTTACAACTTTACCTGTGTAGACTCCTTCTGGCACATATTTATCAGGGTTTCCACTGATTCTGATTCTAAAAGGACTGTTTTTTGATTTCGGTGTGTGTATGTCTTCTGGATCACGATTACAATAAATAGCTTCTGCTCTATTTAGTTCTTTAGCAACCAGTATACAAACAATGAGCTGAATGAGGGACTGCATAATTATTCACTGCAAATGAAAAACATTATCACTCACAGCATAGTAATTGAAACTAAATTTTATATATGAATAAGAAAATGCTATCTGTTATGCATAAGTTTTTATAATCATTGCCACAGTAACAATGATAAGGGATTTTTACTTCATGGGGTAAGTAGTATATATATCTGTTACGTATATCTGTGAAAAAGAAGTCATAAAGAAATAAGACTCATTGTTCAATTTTTCCTTAGAAAAAAGTCTACTGAATGTACGAATAAACCAAAAAGAAAAGCCACAATATATATTTTACGTCTATTATGCCAAGTTTCAGTGAAATCAGTCACATTTGCAGAAATTGTGATGTTCTTTGTGCTTCATAAAGTGGTTTGACATTTTTCTGCTCAGCAAAGATTATGTGAGACTTGAACCGTAGAATTTTTAAGTGGAACTTTTGTAATAACCTTCAAGTGATTATCACCAAGCACATAAAACTGTTTCTTTCAAACTAGCAGTGATGAGATTTTCAGCAATTATGTGCAGCTCACCATTATGAGTAATATGATGGCATACTTGTATGATGTTTCACACACATTAATATTTCCACCTTTTGTGACTCGTGAGAAATCAGTTTGAGAATGCTCCAATTAAACACATTTACATTTAAAAAGTTACAGGTTTATCTTTGCTATCAACATACTTTTTCAATAACATACATATACAGTAAAACCTCTCTAACTTGGACACTTGCGGTTCCACAATAATGCGTTCAACTTACAGAGGTGTCCAGGATAGAGGGAAAGGGGAAAATCATCCTTTCAAATTGTGGTGTAATGACAATGTGGTAATTGTAAAGTATTATGGAGCCCTTCCCAAAAAGGAAATTATTGATAGGGAAAATCAAAAGGGTAAATTAAATTTTTACAAATTTTGTTTTCACTAAATTAAACTTGCATGGATAAGCTCAAAGGGAAGGGCACCAATACTTTACGTTTACCGACAATGTAATTTATTTACTTACATAATCTAACTACTGTAGGCTTGCTTGAATTAAGAATTAATGACAATAATAATAATCTTTTGAAACCCACTCTCATGGTTGCACATTACACCCCAGCCTCAATGAAATTTTAAATGTTCAGAATACATTTTTTAATTGTACTTATGGCATTAGCTAAACATATGATGTCACTTATTTCTTGTAAAAAACTCCATCACAAGACACTGCTTTTTTGCTTTTATCTTGGAATTTGCCCATCCTCTTTTTAATTTTCGCCGCAAACCAAATAAAGTTTCAACAATTCCTGGTTGATTATGAGCGAAAAAGCATACCGTTCCAATTTCTGTTAACACTGTTTAACTCACACAAACACAGTACTGACAAAGTTAAAACTGTACCAGTAATAGTACTGTAGTCCAGTGAAGGGTTCAACAAAAGAATAACTATACACTTACACTGCATTCCAATGATGTGTTCAAAGTCTCACACCCTCAACCATAAGCTAATCCTCCAGAGAGGAGGCATTCATCGGTCAAAAATTAAAAAAAACAAAATACTAACTGTAAACGTTTCCCATAAAAGCATTGAAACTAAGTGCATGCATGCAGGCACCTGTCCAACTTACAACAAAAGGGGTGACCAAGTTCCAGGATAAAGGTGTGTCCAAGATATAGGGTATTGTGGATATGTAAAATTATAGGATATTCGCCAGTTCCAATTAAAAGTGTCCAATATAGAGGGGTGTCCAACTTGAGGGGTATTACTGTATCTGAATTGGAGATAGATGTCATCACATTTACTTTTCTTTTGTAATTTATCCATAATACCTGAAGTACTTGCAACTCCATCTATTTCCTCGTCATCAGGCAACCAGATTTGCTTTCTCTTTTCCTTTTTTTTCTTTAAATTTCCCATTTTTAGCTGCTGATCCACTGTAAGAGTTCAAGAAAATACAAATGTGACTCATTCAATGACACTTAGATTACTTTTCATTAAGACAGCATGATACAGCAACTTAAAGAACAAATTAAATAATTATTTTAAGAATATTTTACCATAATTATAACATACCGTTACAATTCTCTTCACTTTCATTACAACACTCTCTTTCAAATAACTGCCATCTTCTGAGATACAGACGAGCCAATGGCAGAACCTTAGATCCTGATGGGTCATAGAATGGTGAACGTGGATCATTAGGATAGCTTGAAGTGATGCGGATTACTACCTTGTGTGGTGAAGTGGGCTCATCAGGAGACTGGCATGTGGCAGAAAACAAAATAATACCAGCATATCAAAATTAAATTAATATGTCCCACCATAAAGCAGAACAAGAAATTATTTTTATTTTACATTTATTTCATTTTATAATTTTTAAAAGACAGAAACAGCTGGAAAAAAAACCCACATTTTTATAAGGAAAGGGTCAGCAATATACTACACACTTTATAAACCACTAAAAGGTTCAAGAATTTCATTACTACAATTTCTATTGATGCCACTCACCATATAGGTGATTCCATTGTCAGTGCCTGCATCCAAGGGGTACAGATCAAACTCCCTGTAGTCCACCCAGCTGCCATTTTTTAGACAGAGGTTGATCCCAGATACTCCAATTATCCAATCTGGAGATGGAGCTGCACAATAAAACAGATTAAATTATAAAGTCAACAAATTATATACTATAATGATTATGGGCATACAAATGAGAATAAGGATCATACTATTAACATGAGTTGGTCTTAACAAATTATCTAAGTTTATATTTCAAAATTAGATCAGGTTCGGTTTGCTCTGGTTTCTGATCTCTTTTCAAGTCCTGTTCTTAACACCAGGACCCTTCTGGATGAACCCCAAAATGATTTTTAATGTGTCTGTTCTCAAGAAATTAAAGTCAATGTGTATATCTCATACAACTTCAATGATCAAATTAACAAGCATGCCTTAACACTGGGATACTGGGAACGACCCGTTCTTCAAGTGCCTGAGCACTGCGGGTCCCAACTTTTCATTGGCTTGATCTATATACATTCAGTAGGACTCCTTGGATGAGGGATCGGCCCGTCGCAAAGCCTCTACCTGTACACAGGAGAGCACAACACAGAAAAACATCCATGGCTTGAGTGGGATTCGAACCCATGGTCCCAGCGACCAAGCAGCATAAGGCCCACGCCTCAGACCGTGCAGCCACTGCAGACCCCTATGTCTTAACACAGCAATAAATTATTGTAATACTTCGGTCGGTTTTACATCGTATTTTGTAGGAAAAAGATGTTAAACTTAAAATTAACTTCTTTACTCTGAGTCCAGCAAACTACTAACTGATATCTCAACTGAGGGTCAAGAGTGTGGTATTTTGCCACACATCAAGGGCCAGAATATATGAGAATGGGGCATTTATACAAGTATGAATAACAGATGAAAATTAAAGTACCCAGAGAAAAATCTGCCCCAATGATATGTTGTGCATGCAAATTACATAGAGCTGTCCTAAAACTGAATTCAGGCCACAGTAATGAGAAACCAATGTCTAATTACCACAGCCAATAATTAAAAATAAAGCCGTCAACAATGGTCTTCCAAGTCTTATCAGCACGTAAATTTATAGATATTCACACTGCTGACAGAACCTCAAATCTCACAATAAAACTATTAAATGTTTAAGGAACTAAATCTTACAAATATATATATTTATTCACCAATTCAGAAACATTTATCTGATGCCAGATTTTTCAGGCACTGGTAACTACTATTTTGTTGTAAATAAAACTGTAATTTGAAGTTCAAAGATATATCTTACCTATCCTGGAAACAACTGAAAACAGATAATGTTTTCTATCTACTCGGAAGAATGTGCTCGTCTTGCCAGTCACATTGGGGTACGCAAGTCCTCGTGCCTTGATTATTGTGCGGATATTTTTACTCTGCAAGGAGGAAAAAATATACGCCAATTTATTTATATACACAGATTACATACATGTATTAATTACCTCTTTTTATAAATTTCAAACCATAGACTTTCGTTCCTACTGCTACAGCTGAATATCCAAAAAAAACTTTATTCTATTTATTCATCATGAGAACTTCATATTTGATAAGGAATTTGTATGCTCTAAATGAAAATATTTCACAGGTAGTTTCATAATTAAAAGCTACAAACATGTAGACTATTCAGGATGGACACCTGTTACCTTAGCTATGATTTCTTTCTCCAGTTCATGGGTGGAACCTAATTCTGCCACCAATCTCAGGCCTTCTGAAGCAAATCTGCCATACTCCCAGAAATAGTAATGAGGTGAATGAGAAGCTCCTATCAAATCAGTGAATCCAGTCAGCCACCCATTTTCTGGAAATTCCTTTGGGTGTGTATATTTTGACCACAATCCCTCAAATGTCATCTGTGTAAAGACATCATTGGTATCACTTGAAATATTATATATCAATTCAAAATCATAGTCAGTGATAATGCACAGTCTGAGGAATAACCTGACTAATGAAAAGGGGTCAGCAAATAGTGATTGGATGAAGACTAATTCTATGGTTATATACGTATACCTATCAACACATTAAACAATACGGCAAATTCTAAACTAAAAGTACACTTAAGTATAACCTAAGTCTTGGTAGTTACATTTACTCCACACCAAATGTAATGTTTATACTACCATGACCCAGTTTGCAGAGCCCTGTAAAAGTGACATAAAGATTAAACATGTTTAGTAATGCTGCTAGGAAACAATGAGAATGGAACTTCGCCATAACTGCAGGCCACTGGATACTGATGTAGACAAAGTCTCGGTAGATAAGTATTATGTCTCTTGTGATAGAAATGCCACTTTGTAATTCAAGGAACTGAATTATGAGAATGCAAACATTAATTCCATCATAGCAGTAATGACTTAACACAGTTCAGGAAACACTCACAGCATTATAACCACTACATCTGGATACACCACTTACTTCAAAATTTATGCTGAGTCAGATTAAGTTTAGTGTTTATGTTTTGATTTTGATCTGTTTAATGTGTTGATGATTAAGAATAACCATTTAAGTTGAAGTTAAGTTTAGCTATGACAGTGAAAAGTCACTCATTTACAATATGACTGTTACCTCATACAGAGCATCATCACAAGCATAGCAAGTAAAATCAAACTCAGGCTGGTAAAATTCATTCTCCTGATCATCCTCACAAAACTCATGACTTAGTTCACCATCCTTGTACCATACTTCATGGTCTTCCACGATAGTTGCCCTGCAGGAAATAAACATGTAAAAATTGTTGTTTTCCACACTGAATATTGTGCTAATAACTTTGTAATTAAGTCAGATTAAGTAACATTTAAAAACACAAGAAATAAACAACAGATAAATATAGATTATGACAAAGTTCTTTAAATTACTTTAAAGAGTAAATAATTCAACAATTAATAATAATTTTTGGATAGAGGTCAAAATTATTTTATACTAGTATTAATAATTTGTCATCATGAACTATGCAAGATTAGGCTTAGTTGCCAATTCCTCAACTCTCTAACCTCTAATAACAATTTCCTTAAATGTTCTTAATCAAAAAAAATTACTCCAGAAGATATGTTCCCCTTTTGGCAGTTCAGCCCATTAATTACAATCTGTTTGAAAATTGTTCTGTAACTAAATTATAGGGCTCATTACTGTATGCTCAGCAATTCTTATAGTAACTAAGTAGAAAAATAATATGGGATAAGACTGGAGCTATATACACAAGTGTGTGATGAATTTTCACAGTTGCCCATACTTTTAAATTTTAAACAAGTGATAAAAAGCCTGCATTTGAACTCAAGAAAAGCAAGCTCCATACGGGATAGTTACAGAAAGTTATTCTTGTACCTGAAAACTACGCAGCCACTGCCAGGAGGGGGTGCTGTCCAAGTCACTTTGACCTCAGCCTTTTTTAAGGATGACATCTGTATGATGGCATTGGGACATTGATTGCTGTATTTTGCAATGGTGTTCCCCACCAGAGCAAAACTTCCCACATTTTTATCTCCAGTGTCATTGTTTTCTGATGAAGAGTGGTCTTTGGGTTCAACCACCAACATGAACCTTTCAAAAGTTGCTTGATATCTTCCACTTCGCTGGCCACGCAGACTCACTACAGGTCAAAAACTATTGCTGGTATATACAAGTAACATATTTACTGCATCATTTTCCAAACTTCAAAGGCTATGTAAAATTTGAAGGTATGTTTGTTGTCTATTCAATTACTTCTCAACTGCATGGGTCAACTATATATTAATAGCATTGAATGAAGACTAATTGTTAATAATGAGTTATGAATGATGGAAAGGAAGCAGACTTTGCCTATCCAAGTAATAAATCATGTAAAATCTTGGTCTCCAGATAGAAAACTGAATCCAAGCTCTTATGAACCAATCTCTTTTAAGCAAGTGTTTGTAGTTTTGTTGACTGGTTGGCTGGAGATCATTTGCTGTTAAGGAATACTGGGACTTGTGGGATATTATTTATAATTGTGTGTTTACTGCTTAGATTTTCACATCATTCTTGATGACTAGTTTACTAGTAGTAAAACAAAAACATAATTACAGCAGTAATAATAAATATAATGAAACTGATATAGTAACAATTAAGGCAAAGATAATGATAAAGAATAATCATTTGTTATAATATACAAAGTTTTTCCCTAAAACAAACACAAAGTTAATCTATGATTGAAAGGGGAAGTGTACTATTAATAGAAACACGGTACAGAAGCCAAAATGATCTTAAAGTACAAGGACTAAATTACAAGTTCTCATGGCAGTGGGTATGACGATGGCTGTCTTCTGGGTTATAATGCCATCTCATCAAGTAGAAGTTTACAAACGTTTCAGAGGTCCCTGCTGTCTCAATCATCAGGGTAATGAGTAAGCTGCGTGCAGAGAATCAGATTGAGATAGAAGTTTATATAATACACAGAAGAAAGTGATAGCAGATGTCAGAATCTTGCAAGCAGCGATACAATACATAATAAAACCAATGGCAATGTATGCTGCAGTTCTTTGTATAACATTCTGACAATAATCAGAAAGAAAGAGGTTACAACTTTACCTGTGTAGACTCCTTCTGGCACATATTTATCAGGGTTTCCACTGATTCTGATTCTAAAAGGACTGTTTTTTGATTTCGGTGTGTGTATGTCTTCTGGATCACGATTACAATAAATAGCTTCTGCTCTATTTAGTTCTTTAGCAACCAGTATACAAACAATGAGCTGAATGAGGGACTGCATAATTATTCACTGCAAATGAAAAACATTATCACTCACAGCATAGTAATTGAAACTAAATTTTATATATGAATAAGAAAATGCTATCTGTTATGCATAAGTTTTTATAATCATTGCCACAGTAACAATGATAAGGGATTTTTACTTCATGGGGTAAGTAGTATATATATCTGTTACGTATATCTGTGAAAAAGAAGTCATAAAGAAATAAGACTCATTGTTCAATTTTTCCTTAGAAAAAAGTCTACTGAATGTACGAATAAACCAAAAAGAAAAGCCACAATATATATTTTACGTCTATTATGCCAAGTTTCAGTGAAATCAGTCACATTTGCAGAAATTGTGATGTTCTTTGTGCTTCATAAAGTGGTTTGACATTTTTCTGCTCAGCAAAGATTATGTGGCCCCATAATGAGGTTTCCTGGCGTCTGGCAAGAAAACATTCTTGCCACAGGTCCCCGTTATGATAACGCCTAAACGAACTCAGATGAGACATTTATTCTTGTCCCAGGACCTATTCCTTTTGGGCGAAAAGCCAATTTAAGCATGGAATGATGACTAAATAGACCCGAATCCGAAGTAGGTCGTACGAAAACGTGTGGAAAGTACTGTGATCGACATCGCACTCCTGACTCGTGCGATACACCCACAAGCACTGTCCATTATACCAGCATCTTGAGCGAGTATTCTTGGGTCATATGATGTTACGTAAGTTAAATAGCGTATATCGAAACTGGAAGATAAATGATTGGTAGGTAATATAACCAAATGAGCCTTCTGCCTGACTCCCGATGAGTTCATTCAGATAGATGCAGGTATCCAAAATGGAATGTAGCTGCAGGAAGGAGCACGTGCAGGGCAAATTACACGGTTCATTCGACTAAGAAAACAGAGGAATTCCGTATATGCGTTTCATTTTGTTCTTGTCATGTACGGGGTGGAAATCTTCTCAACTGGTTTATTTATTTGTTTATTCATATATTAGCTTATCAAGGTTCCTTCGACGACCTACAATACGTGTCCACTACCTTTGTATCTGCAGCCATTTCGTCAAACGGCAGAGGTTACCGTTCAGCGACCGTCAGCTAAGCGATCCTACTACCCTGAATGACCCCGGCACCTTACGCTCGTCTTCACCTGTCAGGCATGATGCAATCAGCCGCGCATTTGAGTATCACAGGTTAGATTATGGATTTTAGCGGTGGTAACAGCGGCCTGTTTCATGTACCATCCCAGAATTCGCCTGGTGATTGAAGAAAAACAGAAAATCCTGGCAGGACAACCGGTAGCCCGGTCGAGATTAAAACTGAGTATCTCTCAAAAGTACTTTTAGAAAGTAACTGCTATCACCAATAAGGGCTAAATACTTATTATTAAGCACAATGTTATAAAGATGTAGCTCCACTACTTATTTATCTCGGAACTAAATGTAGTTGAGTGGCCAGCGTCACGTCCTGGCCGCCTTATCCTCAAGGAAAGAACCCCGTACCCATCGCACAAGAGGCTGGGTGGGCCCCAGATTGGTCTGGAAGCGGAGACCAAGTGAAGATTCTTTCGCCCCTACTGGGAAACTAACCCCGATCGTCCAGCAAGTAGCCAGTCACTGCACTGACTGAACTACCCCGACTACATTACGAAAGTAGCCTTCAGTTACTTCACGACGTAGTCCTTCTTGAAAAGCTTATAATTGCTATGCCAGTCAATAAATTCCACGTACTTTATTGTCACAAGTTATAAAGAGCCGACCAACCCAGTCCTCCACCATCGCAACATATGTATATACGACTCCATTTAATAATATCCTCCCATCTACGCCTTCATGTCTCAATGGATATCTTGCCTTCAGGTTTTCCGACTAGCATTTCAAATGCATTTATCGTCTCATGCGTACTATGAGGCCCATCCACCTCATCCTCACTGAATTCGTCAATCTTTTTTCTAATCGATTCGCACAATATGTGGATTTTGGTTTACTGGGCTACCACGCTGTAAAGTTACCTAAGAAATATTGGCATAACCGCCTACCGCACTACATATGCAGATCATCGCGTGGCAATTAGTTTCATCAAGTTCATTATGTTTCATTAAAAATTACTTCATGTAACTAGAAGGGCCCATACTTATCGCTAGATGTGTTGGTCCCATATTAGGCCTACCGATTCTTCCCTTCGCAACAAAGAACCACTTTTTCTTATTTTCTTAATCATACTAAGACAGGGCGACGTTGAATCCCCAAACCTTAACTTCCGCCATCAATGAAAGCGATTGACCAAAGCAGTGTTTTTACAAACAGCAACAAGATCAGGCAATGAAGTATTTTCGAAAAAACGTGTCTAGTTACGTAAATAAAGAAACAGAAACACGAAGCTGGTTTTTTTTTAAATGGGAGACAGAAATCACAACCAACTATCTGTGTTAATACACCGTTGCTAGACGTACCTTGCCTTGTAGTGGAGCAGGTTAGTTCTATCTTCGGCTAACACAACAAATTTCAGCCACACTCACCGCTGTCAGACACGGTCTGCGGGATGTTGCTAACTGCGGATAGATTGCACTAGTAACAGCTACAAAAAGGAAAGATGTTTACTACTGCGACGCTAACAACAGGGCAGTAGATAATTTGCGTCACACTTTAGCATGCGAATGTATTTCACATTTATCTTGTTATCAAATTTGACAGCAACAATTACGAGCAGAATAAAGCCAGCAAATGTATATAGCCTACTGTCTGTCTCCTATTTCAGAAACTTTTATTTTTTTATGCGAGGAAGATGACGGTGTTGCTCTTCTGAATTGTAAAGTCGTGTGGAATTTTAGGTACATAATAATGTTTCGGAGGACCATAATGCCTCTTCCATCTTCAGTTATGAATAGGATATAATTTACTTACACTCTACAGATCCTTCATCGCAAAAAGCCAAGGATGCGGAAACCGGCATATCACAAACACAATACCTAATACAGACACAAAAATTAATACCAACATACATATATTTGTGTAGGTGTGTTCCAGTCATCGACAGGTATCCAGTAAAAATATTAGACCTATACTGTGCAGAGCAAAAGAGTAGGTATGTCAAGGAAATTTCCTTAATAAATATTTGCATCACTTAATAACCCTTAACTAAAGTAAATACTGCTACAGAGTAAGAATCATAATAATTACAATTGGATCGTATTTACATCACACAGATCCTTTAGAAGATTACGCCAAAGCTGCTGACATATCACAAACACTTATTACCAATGCAAATACAAATACATAGCTGGCTGCTACACTTGTTGACATCAAACACGTTTCAGAAGAGAGAACTTACAATTCTGGTTTAAATGATTTAAACTCTTAATGTTAAATGCAAAAATTCTTATTCCCGCACAGTAAACGCGTTTATAATAACCAGTGAGGTTAGAATTCGGCAGGTAGATGTCATGTTTATGTCTATACTACGTGCACCTAAATATGTTTTAAAGCTTTTTCAGCATCAGAATAACTGGTTTCCAGGCTGAGATCGCCAGAATACGAAGCAAAGAGGTAACGACTACACCGCGACGTTCCGTTTTCTTTCGTTATATTAAAGAAATTCCGTTTGAAATGTTTTCTAATAAACAGAAACGACTCTTTACGTCTCCACCACGATCGAGCAATACGTCGAAAATTCGAACATCCGTTTCGTTATAAAAAAAAAAAGAATGACATAGAACCTATGTTGAAAATGGCGACGGATAAGGAATCATTCAATTTTATAAAACACATTAATAACGGGAAAATTGAATTCTTAGTAAATATGGATACCGAGAAACTATGGAAATTATACCGCAAAAAGTAGAAAACCGCAAGAAATTTTTTTACGTGCTTTGTGTAATGTACGTTCATGTTAGAGGTGGCCTTGGGCGGATTCATCTCGTGTTATTTCTTGTAATACAACTCATAACCTTGCACGTTTTTGTTACATTCGCTCTACTCGTGTTACTTCTTTTAATGCGCTACATGTGTCGTCTTTCATACGAATCCTGTTTTGCTTTTAGTGAATTTCTGATCCCTTGTTTGCTTGTTCTTCATTTAACTGGAAATGATTCATCCCATGCGCATAATTATTTTTTGTACTCTAGGTTTATCTATTTTACGACGCCGACCAACTACTTTGGCCGATTAAGATCAGTTTGAACATGGTTGTCTTCTGGGTTGTAACACCGTGTAGTCTAAGTTTATCAACCTGATGATGGAGGCAGCAAGGACCTCGTTGGGAACTAC